ATTACCTGTTTTCACTGTACATATGGGCACCTGACTATTGTTTTTTAAGACAGGCCTGAAAAATTGTGAGCCTATCCTGCAAGTTATATAGCTTTTCACACTCAGTTGCACTAATCACCTGTACTTAACCTGCCTAAAGGCTTATACACTCGTTGCTAATGTCTTCAGTCTGAAGATAACAGCCTGTCACATCAAAATACCCTGAGCTCAGAATCTAGATTGAGCTATCCATCTATCCCTTCTATAAACAGTTCTTCGAAAAGTCTGTTACAAAGCTCTTTCTGGCCAGAGTTGGGGCACCCTGCACTTAAGCTGATTTACCACTGACTAACTTTGCATTACAATAGCAGAAAGGGCCTACTCTCTTGCTCTGGCAGCCTCACAATCTTTGTTCGCTAGCCAATTGAGGGCTGTTGCCTTGGGTCACTGGATCAGCTTTAATTGCATTTGGAGATGAGAGAACGTGCAAACATTTTCTTTTTGGTTTCTGGTAGGAACACAGCCCCCCGCTTTCAAATCAGCATTGATGAAACGCTGACTGACACTCTGTGCTAATAATTACAGCCATGCAGGATGGTCATAGCAATACAACTGCACTTTAAACTAACTTGCATTAACCTTATTAACCATCTTAAAAGATGTAAGAAAGAGTGAAAGATTCATTTAGTGACCATCTTCGCGGGCTATAATGACAACATGTTTAGTCAGCTGTAGTTAATTAAAACTAATTCCAGAGTTGGCAAAACTGCGAAATGAAACTACTGCTCTCTGGTTATGATCTATGCATACTTTATGAACTATTTAGGCTTGACCAAGATTTGTTTCCTCAACAAAGAAGCACCATTCTCAATGATTTTGATGGCATTTTAAAAAAGAGCATCCTTAATCTTCTAGAGAAGCAACTAATTACACTTTTATTATGCATATATCTGCAGATTATTATTTGTCACATCTTTAAATGAAAATAATGTCAAATACTCAAATATTTTCCAACAAAATAGTCAAATTCCCAAATTTATTCAGTTTACAATACAAAACCAGCAAATCTTTGAAAAGTAATAATTGATTATGAAAATAGGCACTGATTCATTGTCTGTTCAGCTAATGGATTAATCAACTAATTATTTAAGCTCTGTCTTTTCAATCCAATTCAATTTTATTTGTATAGCGCCAATTCATAGCCAATTCAGGACACTTTTCAGATAGAGCAACTCTATGGGCAGAGGCAGGTCGCCCCCTAATCCAAAGGTTGTTGGTTCGATTCCCAGCTCCTCTTGCCACATGTCGAAGTATCCTTGAGCAAGATACTGAACCCCAAATTGCTCACACATTGTGAATGTGTATGAATGTGTTAGTTTCTGTTTGATGGGCTTTGCCATTGCTGTGTAAAAGCACTTTGAGGGGTTGGAATATACAAGTACAGAGACCCAACAATTCCCACTATGAGCAAGCACTTGGCGACGGTGGCAAGGAAATACTGCCATGTAAGAGGCAGAAACCTAGGATAGACCCCTCGGCTCTAGGTGGATGGCCGTCTGCCTCAACCAGTTGTGGTGAGAGAGAAAGAGAGAGAGAGAGAGAGAGAGTTGGACTTACAGACAGACAGAGGTGCACAGCAACAACAGTGGCAACATATACACTAATAGTAGTGACTGATGACGATGAACATGAAGAAGATGATGACGACGGCGACAACAAAGATGGGGGACAATGAGCAGCAACTACAACAACTGTTGCGTTCTTAATTTGAGAAAGGACCTTAAAGGAAGTATAGTCTTCAACTTCTTTTATTTGAGAGAATAAGTAAATAACACAGCTGTGGGTCCGATCTTCACTTGAAAGGTCCGCAGGATCAGGCACCAGGAGCACAGTCTGCTCCCTCTTTTTATGAGTTTGTGATTCTGGGTGTCATCCTTCCTGATTAGTACGTGTCACTATTCTTATTGGTCCTTATTTTGGCAGAGGTGGTTTCTTTGTATAATTCCACAATGACTACTGTCCACACTTTGCCAATCACCTCCCATGCTTGAGGTGCTAAGATTTAATTAAAAAAGGACAAAAGGTGCGCTTACTTACAGTGGGTGCTTCACCAGTTTATTGATTATTTAATTTAATTTTGAGTAAATGACTAAGGCTCAGTGTGTTTCTCATATTAGAGAGACTATTCTAAAACATGCAGTCAAAGGTCACCAAGATTAACAGGAAGGACCTGTGATTGTGTCAGCAGAATATTTCCTGCACAATGCCTGTTTATTCCACACCCAGTATGACAAACCCTTTTCACATGTTTTATTGTACAAATATCTCACACAACAACAGCAACCGTAGCAATAATAACAGCAATAATAATAACAATAATATCAGTAATATTAGCAATGGGAGTCAAGCAGGACCATGGCAGGAGGCTCCACCAGGATCAATGAGAACCTGTAAGACGAGAAAGCACAAGAAC